GGCCCCCCCCCCCCCCCCCCTCCCCCAAAAAAGGAAAGTCGCCGCTTGGCCACCGGCCACCAGTGATCAAGTGCAGTTGCGTCCACTCCATGTGAAGCACAGCCTCTGAGGAAGGGGGGGAAGAGAAGACGGCCCCATGAGGAAGGCCGTAATGGCCAAGCCTATTCCCTCTCCGCTCAGCAGGTGACGAGATTCCCACCTCCAGCACGTAGAAGAAAAGCCGTCACCCGGCGAGCCATTCACACACAATCACCAGTGAGCGACAAAATAAAAACGCCGCCATCCCTGCCTCTCAGAGAAGGGAATATCGGGCTTCAGTCACCACCCCGTCACTCGAGCTTGGTGACTGTGAGGCGATGGATGACGCCCGAGCTGCCCTTCCCGTTGAGAATACGCGTCAGAGTCGTCCTGCCTGAACACATACACACACGCAATACATGATGCTCATGATTGTGATCTCGTCGCCTCACTCAGGCCGCTGCTTTTGATGCCCAGGTCCTCGGCGCCCGTGCACCCATCGCTTTCACACCACCTTGCCGTTCACCAAGCTGAAAGTCCGAACAGCGGCCGTCCAGTGGCCGCCAGGTCACCAACACGTGGGCATCTCGATGAGCCACGCCTGCCATTTGGCTTTACGCTATCGTTCGGCCGGAGAGTCGTTTGTATTAGCAGCTGCGCGTAGGTTTCCTTCGAGACGGTATTCGATAGCGTTTCGATAGACGTAAGTGCCGCCAAAGGGTCAGTTCGTCCCTTTGCCGAGGCTTCCTGCGGGGCAAGCCGCTGCCTTTAAAAGACTTGGCCTTTGATGCGTCAGAGACGCTCGAGACACGACGTGCAGGGACGCTCAGGTCCTTGGGAGGCTTCGAACCAAGCAGATCTTGGTCGGGACGACGTTTCGCAGGACCACACGGGAAGGAGGATGGCGACAGCCCATACACACTTCACCTGCTGAGAGATCTAACACAAACCCAACAACAAGAGACCCTCCTTCCATCCTCGGGGTACCTCACGAGAGGCAACCGTCAACCCGCCACCAGACCGTCTTCCAGAAGCGACCGCGTTACCTGCTCGATGTGGGGGATGAAGAGGGCCCTTGACCATAGTAGCAATTCAGCAGGCTTTACGGGCTGCGGACAGCTTAGTCGGTGGCGGCTGTGTCGGCCCCGTGGACAACGGTGTCCGTACGATGAAAAGAACACAGCCCCCACGAGGAAGGCCGTGATAGCCGCTATCCCCTCTCCCCTCAGCAGGTGACGGGAGGCCATGTCCACGGCAACGAGCGAGGGACTAAGAGGCTGCAATTGACAGGCTGCCATGATGGAGATGCGATGGAAAAACCAAAGGCTAGCCTCCTAGATCTCAATACTCTTTTGACCCGCGCTGGCCGCAGGTAAATGCAACTCACCGAAAAAACTCATCGTTGATCGCGAACCGATACCGCGGGCCCATATGCGGGCAGCCACCGGGCCGAAGGCACGGGCGCGTGGCCCTAGTAGCTTCAGGTACGCCCAGCCCACCTCATTCTTCAATGCGACGCCTGTCATCACCTCCATGGCATCTCCATGGACAAAACACATCAGATCCCATCATGATCTCATCGTTTTCTACTCGATCGTTGTCCATGTTGATCTGTTTTGTCTGCAGTAGTGAAATTGCGATGGAGGAGGACTTGTCGGGCGACGATGAGGCCGACGTTGGGCGCATGGATCTCGTCAGCGTCAGCTGCCTCAGCTCTCAAGGCCTGCAGTGCGCATTCTTCAAGGGATCTGCCGAGTCCACCCGGACGCTCGCCGCCAGGCTCATGAGCCGCTCCATCTCTGCCAGTTTGGTGACAAGGTCGATAGAGGACGAATTCGCAGACCCCTCAGCGCCGTTCGCCATCGTTCACCCCTCGCTGAGCAAGACGATCGTCGTCAGCCTTCTGTCCATCGCTATCGATGACCCTTTCGCTGCCCGCCCTGACGTGTGGCGATTCGCCAATGGCAAACGTCTGACCCTCTCGCCGTGGCCCTCTCGAGCGGCGCAGAGCGCGGTGCTTGAGGCCTTGATCAAGGGCGGGGCTGGCGTGGATGGACATGCTCAAGAGGACAATCGCCCCATGAAGGTCGCTGTGGCATCAGCAAACAAGGAGGCCACCAATGTAAGAGAAAAGAGGGGCGGGAGAGGGAGAGAAGCCGGCCGGCATTCATACCCGCCCTTCTCTCGTCCTGTCTCGTCTTATCTGTCTGCAGATGTTGCTCAAGCACAAGGCCCGTGTGCACGGTTTGGAGCTCATCTACCCGCCCAGCAGCGCCGAGCGGCTCCCCCAGCCGTATGCCGCGTCACTACTCAAGATATACAGGCAGCTGCTGTTCCACGATCGCAGCCTTGCCACGGAGAGGGACGAGGCGGGATGCACCGCTCTGCACTTGCTGGGGCAGGCCAGGCTGCATGACGACATGGTGCGGTCGGCCATGCGGCAGATCGCTGAGGCGTCCAAGAACAACAAGATGATCATCTACCCAAACAACAGGAAGGCCAAGGGACGCGCGAGAGGGGCAGAGGGAGAGGGCTGGACGGTCCGCTCGGTGGCGCGCCGCTGCATTGCGGGGGTCAAGGGTTTCCTCTGGTCGGCGTTTTTCTCCTGCCTTCTCGCTTTGGCCATCCTCATTCCCATCGTGTACTGCGTCATTCGGGTGCCTTTATGCGTCGTGTGGAGCGTCGTCACCCTCCCCTTCTCGTCTGCCCGTCATCAAATCGCTGAGGATGTCGCCGAATGCGTCGGTGGCGTGTCGTTCATCGTCGGCAACACTTGGCGCGTGCTGGCCGGCCAGGGCGTCGAAGTGCCGCAGGATATCTTCGAGCATGTGAGTGGTGACACGGATGACGACGCTGGCGATTCGTGGTTCATCGACAAGTACATAGACCTCCTGGTGGAGCATGGGCTGTCCCTCATGAATGAGAACGACAGCAGAGACACACCACTGGACTTCGCGGCTCCAGCTGGGTCGCGGGCAGTGGTCGAGCACCTGTGTCGCTCCCTGACCCAGAAGGACATCAACCGTGTGCATCCCCGTTATCGGGTGACGGCGCTCGGCGGCGCGGCCATACGGCTGCGGCAGCTCACATACGAGAGCAAGAAGCACCCCGCCTCGCGAGAGCACATCAGCGACCTGCAGCACGTGACCCGCACGTTGCTGCAGCACGGCGCGTCTCCCTCTCTGCTGCCGGCCGGCAATGCCATGCAGAGACAGGCACAGGGACTAGTCATGGACATACACAGAGAGATGCAGCAGGGACAGAACGGTACGCATGTATGCACCCCAGAGCACCTATCCCATCTATCCGTCATGTCCTCAATGTGTCTCTCCTTCTCCATGAGTGCAGTTGCCAAGAGTGCGAGCGCCCAGCCGCCGTCATCTGCTGCCCCGCCTTCACCCTCACCCTCACCCTCACCCGTACCGCCACCCGCACCCGCACCCGCACCCCCTCCCCCTCCTCAGCAGACCACCACACGCAGCGCCACGACAAAAGGCGGCCGGAAGGGAGGCGCCCAGGCCACAACCACCAGCAGCAGCAGCAGCACGGACGAGACACAAGAAGAGCGGGTCAGGCGGCTGACTGAGGAGGTGAGGGCGCTGAGGATGCAGGAGGAGCTGCTGCGAGAGGAGGCGAGGGAGAGGGCCGTGAGGGAGAGCAAGGAGAGCAGGAGCAAGAAGGGAGGGGGCAAGAAGGGCAAGGCGGGTGGTCACGGGTCTGGGGATGGGCGCGCACCTGGGGCCTCCCATACCACTCCTACGGCTGCGGAGCCGTCCACAGCCAAGGCAGATAGGTGAGCAACGCACTCACAAAGGGCTGGCCGGTTGTTTGCTCGTCCATGATGTCTGTGTGGCCTCTCTGCCTGCCTGCCTGTCTGTCAGTAATAGTTCGTGTGTTGACGTTGAGGGGCGTGCCGATGAGGACTCATCCCCGGCAGCTGCGACGCCCGGTGCGGATGATGGCGGCTATGGCAGTGAGGATTTCGCACCATTCGTCACCGTCACTCACACCAGCAAAAAGAAAAAGAACAAAGCCGACAAACTCGCGTAAGCCTGCGGCAGGAACGATATGCAACCTTCTTGTCTCCCTTGCATTGATGAACGCTCTTGTGTGTGTGTCTGTGTGTCTGTCTGTCTGTCTGTCTGTGTGTCTGTCTGTCTGTCTGTTATCCTCTCAGGGCAGCGAATGGTGCTTGTGCCAGTCGTGCTGCGGGCGCTGCCAAGCCACACAACCACCGGTACACAAGGAAAGGGATTGATGGGCGCCACGAAGAGCACCTTATCCATCTGTTGATGTGATGTTTCCCTTTCCAGCAGTCCGCCCCCTCTCGTCCCCACACATAAGATCGCAGGGTGAGAACACATCAGGGATACGCGGCCTTCAAAGCGGCTGCACGCACTCCATGTGTCATTGTGTGTTGTCAGATCGTTGGCTAGTTTGTCGACTGGCGACATCGGGAAGGCTCTGCCCACTGCATCGGTGTCCTCGGCCACAGCAGCAGGCGACTGGTAGCACCGCCCACCAAAAGCTCATGGCTGCATGGCATGCATCGATGAGAGCTTTCCTGTCATTTGTTTGCAGCACGGGCGAGACGCCTCGGGGGCACAGCACTAGCGGCACGGCTGCACCTTCTTCTGCCAACCCCACGGCGACCGGCATCGAATCGAGGTGCGAGACATGGCAAGGAACGGGTGGAGGGGGGTTCGCAGGATGCGACGCATTATCCACTGGACCTCCTTGTTTTGGTTGTCGTGTCCAGGTCGCCTGCTGAGGATAGTAAGGACCGTCTCGTCCACCAGCTACAGCAACAACTGGACGACGCCAGGCGAAAGTGAAATAAACAAACATGAAACACGAACCACGCATGTATGTGGTCTGTCTCTCGTTGTCTGCCAGGCTGGCCAAGGCCACTGCGGACCAGCAGCCGTCCACTGAGCGCCATCCGGACACCGACTGCATCATATGTGACGGCGACCACGGCAAGGCCACCATCATGATCATCCCCTGCAGACACATGTGCGTCTGCACCCACTGCTACACACAGTGGAAGGCCAGGCACCAGCAGGAGGTGGCCGCGGCGAGGCAGCGGCAGGCGGCCGGGTCGACAGCAGCTCTGCCCAGGTTTGAGTGTCCGTGTTGCCGTGCCGATGTGGTGTTTGCGGGAACCAGGGAGGAGGTGCTCAAGTGGGCTAACCAGCCTTACAAATGGCAGCTAGACTGACGTGAGTGCTCAGGGGTGGGTGAGGGTGTTGGATGCATGAATGGGTGTGACAGTTCTTCATGCCTGTGTGGACGCCGTGTCTGTTGTGGACGGACGGACGGATGGATGGCTGGAATCGAGTAAGCGAATTGATGTCCATCAGTCGAATCCAGGACACCACAACACACACACACGGATGGACACACACGGATGGACGCAGCGTACCATCCTTCATCTATGTGTGTGGTGCTCGGCACAGCTGTGTCGTGCCACATGAGAACTAGAGCTAAACACACTACTCACTGCTATAAATGGACACTCATGAATACACACATTCACGCACAGACGCACCACCGCCACCATGAACGAAAAGAGCGCCGACAGGAACATCTGTCTGTCTGCCCATCATCTCTACTCTTGGTGCGGGAAGAGGATGTCGGCGGCCTCGCTCGTGCCCAGCAGCAGCTCACACGACCTCTTCAGCTCGTCCACAATCGCCGCTCTGGCTCGGCTGCTCCTCGTCAGGGGCACGCACATCGCCATGAGGGAGAGGTCCGATATGTCATGAGACCGCAGCGACCGCGAGTGGTCGATCGCCTCACGCATGGCCCTGGCGCCCTCCTCCTCCCGAAAAGTCTCGTAGAAGATGAAGAGACGCAGGGCATGCAGCCTCGATATCATGAGGGTGTCGATGTTCAGCCCCCGCACCCTCTGCAGCATCTCGTCCACCTCGCGCAGGTCGCTCGCTTTTCGCCAGCTCTTGGAGTTCAGCCGCTGCTCCACTTGCTCGATGACCGACAGGGCGTGGGGGCTGTACTGGGGCTCGGGCAGCTGATAGTGGCGTGCTATCGCCCTCTCTTCGGACGGGCTGCGATCGAGCTGGTCCCAGTAGGAGACGGTGACCTCGTTACCGCGGGCGATGGGGCGGACGGCACGAACAATCAGGAGGTCTTCAACACAATACCTGCGCGCATAAGGCAGAACATATGAGCCTGAGCCGTCTCGACAGTATCTTCTGGTGAGCGCGCGGCTTACCAGATGGCATTGCGCTTCATGCCGGCGTGGTTCAACAGCGATGGCAAAGGCCACACACCCCCTGCAGGACAACACCAAGGGCATACGCACATGAAAAGCCATCCACCCCATCCATCCATCCATCCATTCTTCGTGTGACATTGTATCACCTGACATGAGCATCGGAGGAAGCGAGCCCTGGATGGAGGTCTCAATGATATCGTCAGGGGTGCGGATGTTGAAGTCCAGCAATCGGCGGAGGTGGCCAGGGTCGCTGTCCATCTGTGCCACAGGCGGACCGAACTCCTCCCCGTTGGGAGAGCCCACTACTCGCGGCAGCAGCGGAAACTCCACAGTCAGCCCGAGACACGTCTCGGGGGCGGGAGCGGCCCTTCTGATGGACTTCCTGTGGGCCATCACCGTGACGGCCGACGGCTGTCCCCTGCCGGGCGGCAGACAGCACAGCTGAGAGACCAGCCGAGGGTGCCAAACGTCACACTGCGAGGCCAGCCGTGCCACCAGCCGCTCGTCGAATCGCCCACTGTCTTGCGACGATGCCCGCTCCACCACGACGGCCTTCTGAACGGTCAGCAGCTGCCCCACCCGGACATTTGCTGTGGCAATGAGGGCCGGCTGGCTGTCGGGGGCGGGGGGACTGAAACCGACTGGCCCGACGTACTCAGCCACGTCGATGGGCGTGGTCCTGCCGAGCTGTCTGTTCTGGGCACTGCCCATTGCTTGTCGGTAGATGGCCGCCCAGTCATAGTTGCCGGTGGCGTTGGCCGCATGGGTGCGGATGCGCCGCTGCAGTGTGGTGATGTCTGCCGCCATCTGACCCTCCAGCTCCTGGCAGACACACACATACAGGCACACCACTTTCCCCTCTCTGTCTCACGAGTGTCCCATTGCCAGCTTACGTGATTGGTCAGCGCCTGGACGACGGCATCGGCCGCGTCGAAGAGCCGCTCCGCCAGCAGCCCCTGGCCCAGCCGAATGAGGGTCTTCTGCTGGATGACACTCAGCTGCTGGCAGGGCCCCTTTAGGCAGCTCAGATGAAATGCCGCGGTGGCACAGCCGACGGCGTCCGGCCCTCCCTCCTTGATGAGCTTCGGCTGGAGCAGACACGCAGCCGCGTTGCTCAGCAGTGCCACGAGGG